TATTTGTTAGTAATTGCTCTATATATTCAATTAATTGTATTGGTTATGCTGATGGAGGTTCTTAAGAAATTTAAAATTTAATAGATACTTAATTATAATACCAAGTATTTCGCTATATGAAATATTAATTTATAGATATTTAGCTAAAGGATTGTATAATCTTAATATTTCTATTTTATTTTGAAACAATCCCAACTTTGGATAATTTCTTAATAGAAACAAAATTTTAAATATTTCCAACTAAATTTGTTGAGCTCATATTGAATAACCCAAAATAGCAAAATTATGCAAAGCTTCATTATGCTATGACAATTAATTAGGTTTCATGTTAATTATTGAAATTTCTAATAGAACAATTTAAGGAGCAAAATGAAAGTGCTAATCCTATTTTAACATCAGAAAATTATAGAAATAAACATTATTGGTATAGAATCAATTTAGAAATTATTATGATATTTTTTTTGTATTTTATATGTTGAATATAAAAATTAAAAGATCAAAAGAGACTATAAAATTTTAGTTGGTAGAAATAAATATTTTGAAATATTCGAATCTATTTACATCATCTTCGTTCATTTTCTGACTACTGAATTATTTGTGCGTTCTGTAAATTATCAAATATAAATTGTATTTTGAAGAGAATATAAGGGTAATTTATGTTTTATAGTTATTAAAATATAATTCTTATGTAGTTAAATGTTGAATAAATAATTTATTAATTTTTTATTCATTCCTCTATAATTGGGAATTAGGTAGAAGTTCATGTTTAGCAAGTTAATTTTTTTTATTTATTAATTTTAGCACATAAACATAATTAGCAATTAATCTTAGTTACCTCTGATTTTGATTGATCTTTATAAATTATTAAGATAGAAAAGTAGTATGTTATGAATCAAAAATTATAAGGGTTATAAGATTAATTATTTATATCTTATGAAAAATGGCAGGATGATAATTCTTTTATGATATTAATGGTATTTATTTATTAAGAATTTGTTATGATTTGGAACTAATTTGGTTAGTGAATTCAAAATTGTAAATCTAAAACATTTTTTAAAGTTGAAATTATTATAAATCACAAATAATGTGATTATATGTTGCTTGGAAGTGCAACTTATAATTAGGCTGTAATCAATTTCTTGTACACCTCGTTTTTATTGTGCTCAGTAGTAGGCTATTCAGTTAATGGATCAATTATAATTGTTATGCTTAAGATATTAATATTTAATTTCCTGCAAATCTTAATATTTATTTGAAGTTTTTTTTATTTCTCTGTAACTAATGTATAAGATATTCAATGTTATAGAAGAATTTATTTAATTTTCAGTTCTTGAAAAAAACTTAAAATTTTTTATTTTGTCTGATCACTGCTTATATGGTTTATTATTTTAGAATACTAACTTAATATTAAATAACATATGTTATTCAATCAGATAACAGTTTGTTAGAGAGTTATCCTATCTATTGTTATGATTGTACTAATTATTTATTTCTCAAGCAATAGTTTAAGGGAATCAATAAATTCATATTTTTCTATTTTAGTTTTACTTTATATATATAAGTACTTCTTTTTACTTCGTTAATATTGTGCAAAAAATTTTCATTCTAATATATTAAAAGTAATAGAAAAATAACAAGCTAGATTTGAATGGATTAAAAATACTATGAATGTTTGAATAGCATAATACCTAAGTTGTAAAATGTAATAATATTAATTAAAAAGTTTGTTTTTATTGAGCTTATTTTTTTTGGGAAAAGATTTTTTAGTTATATTTCAGTCATAAAAAAGAAAGCAAACTTTAATCCTAACTTATTGCCACAAATTAATATTTTTGCTATTCTATTTTA